TAATTTTCCAATTAACATTCTGTTCGAAATATTGGGTAAGTCAACAATAAATTTACACTATAAAAACATATATTTGTCCAATACAAAAAAAAAAATTTAATTATACAGTATACGGAATTTTGACGAATTTTCAACATATGTATAAGAATATAAAGAGAACAGTTTTATTCAAAATTATTGTTAAATTTTAATCCAGAGGTAATTTCAAATATTATCGATATTATAATATTTACAAATTGTAATGTTGAAATAATTGTGGACCCACAAAAGTTTGATATCGATTAAATTATTTCTGAAACCTAAAAATACTACAATTTACATAAAAGATGATAAATGTACACACATTATAATAGACACTTTTAATTGTCTTTTATTACTAGATTATTAAAATTTCGTTTTCTACAATTTGTCGTACCTTTTACTTTTTATATAAAAAAAAAAATATTGTTTGTATTTTATTTTAAAATTATTTTAGAGTTGTGCTGACATTAGGTAGAATAACTTTAACAAGAATGAAGAATCAAATATTAATTTTGTTGTTGACGATTATATATGTAATTAAAAAGAATAAAAAATAGACAATCGTTTTCAATTTGTATTTGATATATCCCTCTATAAGGCGATGTATTATTATAAAAGTTATGATAAGAAGTTGAGGCAATGTAATTAAAATTTTAATAATTATATATAATTATAAATTCTAGAGTAAAAATGATAGAACGTTCTAATTATCAATCTAATGAAAAAAATCCATAATATAGTTTTGGGACACATTGTATACTTTATGTATATAGAGATTTATTATCAAGTTTATAATTTATATTTATAATTGATTTTATGTTGGTTTTATTCTCGGTGATTGTTTGTTTGGGATTTATATAATACACAATTAATAAAAAAACACCAACCTTTAAGGAAAATAATAATAAACATATGCTCTCTCTTTTATTATCAAAAAATAATATAACTTCGTTTCGCGCACGTAATTATATTCGATTAAATTGAACGAAATAAAAAAATATATATAAAGAGATACAAAGTAGGATGTATACAAAATAGTTGTCAGAATAGAAATTCGGCGAATTAAAATTATGTACATAATTAAATTCGGCGAATTAAAATTATGATCATATTCATAGCATCAAGCAACTGTCATCGTCAAAATTAATAATTTAACCATTGTAAAATAAATAATAGAAATAATATCAAAAACGCGCGCGAAACGCCTTGTTATTGTGTCGATTTGCTTTAAAATTAAAATTCGGCGAATTAAAATTATGATCATATTCATAGCATCAAGCAACTGTCATCGTCAAAATTAATAATTTAACCATTGTAAAATAAATAATAGAAATAATATCAAAAACGCGCGCGAAACGCCTTGTTATTGTGTCGTCTAGTGTGATTTAAAAAAGACATCAAAACTATATTTAATTTCTCTATTTATCTTTTGTTTACAGTGTGTTTTACAATAAATATTCCTTTTCTCCGACATGATGATATTTCTAAACCTATTATTAAGTAGCGGATTAATATTTATCGCTGAGACGGCTTCTATTCGTAATGAATCTTTATGTTATCGACCATCAAAATATATAAAACCAACGCATTACGATATCAAGCATATATTATACATTGAAGGAAATATTATCTATGGAGAATACAAGATCAGCATAAGCATTCTTAGCAAAACGCAACACATATATTTACCTTCAGTAAAATTATGTATTAAAAACATAGTTTTATTTAAAAGTTTGGGAAAATCTCATAAAAATGATAGACATTTTACAATAATGTATAAACCGACGTATAATATTAAAGCAAACATAATTGACGTTTTCTTTATGGATGATTTATCACCAGGAAATTACACTTTACATATAAAATATATGGGTACAGCTGATGAAGGTTTCACAATTTTCGACGTGAAAGAAAGATCTGCGTAAGTAAATAACAAATGTTTATTAAAAAGTACAATCTGCAAATAAATAAATCATCGTAATTAATATATTATTTTAATTAATACATTATTTTAATTAATATATTGTTGTAATTAATAATAGATTATTTAGGTATTAAAGTATCCCAAGTATTATTACATATCGTGGAATTCAAATATAAAAGACGAACAATCTCTCTTTACCTTTATTATTATAATATATGTAATAAAGTCAAATATATATTATACGTTGACGCATATTATACATTTATGGATTTTTTAACTCTCAATATTTTTATGCTTACCAAAAATGTCTCATTAATTTCTGTACTTTGAAATGTAGTTGGATAGCTACTACGCATTTCCAGATAATAGATGCCGGATTGTTTCCATGTCGGCAACAGGAGTTATTAGAAGCAACCTTTAAGATTTCTATAAGATGTAACCAATGCATGGTTTTGTCAAATATTCCATTGCGAAATACGAAACAAATTGTGAATAATATGTTATGGACACACTCCTTTATCACATATGCAATGTCGCCTTATCTTGCAACAATAATTGTGTCCAATTACCTATTACGTGTTTATAATGATACTCAAAACATTGAAGTGTGGTGCAGAAACGAATTTGTAATTCACTTTGAATTTGCAAAAAATGTAGCTGAAAATATCACTAAAAAATCATTAAAAATAAATGGAAACAACGTGTGAACATTTTTTTAAGGTGACTCACGTTGCAATTCCAAATTTCCATGACAATGGCATAACAGTTTTCGGACTTGTTTTTTACAAGTGAGTACAAGTGCTTAAGATTACATTAAAAACAAAATTATATTAGTATGCATGCAAAATGATAAAGTTTAAAAACATGTATATCTTTATTCTGTTTCTGTAAATGTTCGATAGTATAAGAAATTGGGAAAACAAACAATTTTAAGTAGTAAGAAGTAAGTTTATTCGTATTATAATTCAAAAAGTTGAAGTTTATTGTTTTAATATACATACATACATATAATGGGAAAAGTTTTTATGCTATATCGTATCCCCTAAATGCTAAAATTGTAATAAAGCTATAAAAAATGACATTTTTTTATTTATTTAAAACTGTAGTTTTTTATCAATGATATACGCATTAATACAAAATCATTGTTTTAAACTTAAATTAAAAATTAAGGAAACATTATTTGGTACGAGTTACAATACTGATTTGCTAAATTGTACCCATGAGTTTGTAAATCGTACCTCTAACAATAAAATTTTAAAAATTGTAACAAAAATATAAAGATTTATTTTTACGAAAGTTCTCAATCTGAACGTTCAAATATAATTTTCAGGGAAACAGATATCATCAATAGTAAAGATATATATCCTGTTACTCGCGACATCGAAGTTACTCAATTAGTAGGACGTAAAGTGATAGAAGAATGGTTTTATGATCTAATGAACCATCCGTTAGTATCGGATTTTTGGTTTAATAATGGTCTTGTTACTTTGATTGCAATGTATACTGTCAATGAGGTATTATGTTAAAAACATTCAACATTATGTAAAATACTAAACTGTTTTAAAAAAATACTTTTTCCAAATATTTACATACATATCATTATAATGTAAAATATTAAAAATTCTTTTATTTTTAAAAAATTAGTACATACATTTATTTAAATAGCTTGATAAAGAGAAATCTGCAATATAATATTATAAGCTAATAATTCTACAAAAGTATATAATATTTACTAATTATATTAATACAAAATTTTAGATTTTATTACTATATTTATTTGTATGTATATATTTCAAATGAGAAAATGTTTTTTTTTAACATAGAAGAACCGCTAACAATATTAGCATTTCCTTCTAATAGCAAGTATTTTTAGAGCGGTTATATCGATATATTAATTATTTTTTTACAGATTTATCCTGATAATCGAATAATAAATTTATTTGTTGTTCAAAATCAACATACTTCTTTTTATTTGGATGATTATGATATGGAGAATTCTACTTCACAATATGACAGTTTATTAAAAATTCGCCGATCCATCAGAGGTATAACGTAAAAATAATTAAATAGTCCGTGTACATTTCTAATTACTAATATTATAAAAATATGTGTAAAGTTATAAAGTAATTAATTCTTTATTTTTTTGGATTCTAATTAAATATCAATTTTGTAAAAGTATATACACAACACATTCGCGCTCATGTCCGTGTAAAATACGTATGTAAAAGGCGACCAGTTAAGGGCACGCCATTAACAAAAATTATCCATTGCAAACCCATGTAGAATCCTATCCTATTGCAAACCCATGTAGAATCCTATGAAAAATTAATCATTGCAAACCCATGTAGAATCCTAGGCAAAATTAACCATTGCAAACCCATGTAGAATCGTACCCATTGCAAACCTATGTAGAATCCTATGAAAAATTAACCATTGCAAACTCATGTAGAATCCTATGAAAAATTAACCATTGCAAACCCATGTAGAATTGTATTAAAAATTATCCATTGCAAACTTATGTAGAATCCTACATTGCAAACCCATGTACAATAGAATTGTATGAAAAATTATCGATTATAAACCCATGTACAATCGTAACAAAAGTAATGAAATAAAAAAAAAATGAAAGTAGAAACTTGTACCAGTGGAAAATTAAAGTTGCAGACATATATAGAGTCGTATAATGAATCAGTAAAAATTTAAATTTGCAAATGTAGAATCGTACCATAAAAAAACTTATCTTTTAAAAAAAAGATAAACAAGATGCCAAGTCCATGCGCCATGTGAAAAAGAAATAAAAAATTTTAGTTAAAAAAACTGGGCGCGCTGCTAAGTTTCAAAATTACAATGCACCTTAAAGTAACATTAATTAATTTAAACACAAACATATTTTAACTGTAATGAGTTTAAAAGTAACAATTTAATTTTAATATTGTTAGAATATTATTTAGCAGCGCTCCCAGTTTTTTTAACTAAAATTTTTTATTTCTTTTTCACATGGCGCATGGACTTGGCATCTTGTTTATCTTTTTTTTAAAAGATAAGTTTTTTTATGGTACGATTCTACATTTGCAAATTTAAATTTTTACTGATTCATTATACGACTCTATATATGTCTGCAACTTTAATTTTCCACTGGTACAAGTTTCTACTTTCAATTTTTTTTTATTTCATTACTTTTGTTACGATTGTACATGGGTTTATAATCGATAATTTTTCATACAATTCTATTGTACATGGGTTTGCAATGTAGGATTCTACATAAGTTTGCAATGGATAATTTTTAATACAATTCTACATGGGTTTGCAATGGTTAATTTTTCATAGGATTCTACATGAGTTTGCAATGGTTAATTTTTCATAGGATTCTACATAGGTTTGCAATGGGTACGATTCTACATGGGTTTGCAATGGTTAATTTTGCCTAGGATTCTACATGGGTTTGCAATGATTAATTTTTCATAGGATTCTACATGGGTTTGCAATAGGATAGGATTCTACATGGGTTTGCAATGGATAATTTTTGTTAATGGCGTGCCCTTAACTGGTCGCCTTTTTTTACCTTTTTTTAAAGGTGAGTTTTTAGAGATTATATCATTCATTTTTGTATATTTTTATGACCGGAATAGAACAATTATTAAACATGTTTATCTAAACTTCTTTGCTTAAAATGATGTGTACAATCATATCCTAGAATCCTGATCATTCCTCCTAAAGCACCCTATTTATATAAATTTACCCATATGTGTGTGTGTGTGTGTGTGTGTACTAATGTCGAGCATTTTTTATACATTTTCTATTAAATTTAGATAAAAGTTGCAGGATTTCGAAAAAGAAAAAGTTGACACAGACTTTTTCCTAAACGGCGATTTTCAAGGTTATTTAAAGGTCACTTATATTTTCAAAATAGAATTACCTTAATTTTTCTCATATAAATCGATTCCTCGCAATATTTACTATAAAAAGTTGTAAAGGTATAATTTTTACATAATCTTACATAAACTTCGAAATATTACAAATATTTTATTTTATGAAATATTTCAGTTTATGTAAAATTATGTTAACTATCTTTTAAATTATTCACTTTTAGCCATCTTACCCTTACAACCTTTTATAGTGAATATTGCAACAAATTGGTTTATATATATAATATATATATAACATCAGTTATTATTAATTGATGTTTACATTTATTTTTAGACTTACTAGAGCTCAAATGCTCCACATTTTTTGCAAAAACTGTTTATTCTACAGATTTCAAATATGCTTTTAAATGATGATTGAATATTTCCTTTTTTTAATTATTTTTATTATTATTTTTCAATCTCAATCAACTTTTATAACTTTATGCCAGCACGATACAAATACATGTGTCTTTATTTTTTTTATTATTTTCATTATTATTTTTCAATCTCAATCAACTTCTATAACCTTATGCCAGCAGGATACAAATACATGTATGTCTTTATTATTGTATCAACTCTTGTCTTTTCCATGTAACCATGTCTTCATAGTTTGAATTATCCCTTCATCTTCTCAATCTTTCGCAGAGATTTAATTAATTAAATACACTTCACACGAAATAAAGTTTGCTGGAAGATATACAGCAAACGATAACTGTAAAAACATGATTACGTGGAAAGAACAAGAGTTGGTACAGTAAAGGCAAGTAAGTAAGTACATGTAATGTATCGTATTGGCATAACGCTATATCCGCGGAGCAGATAATGTGGCTGTAGAGGTAGTCTGCAGTGCAGCTAATGTGGACGTAGATGTTGATTGAGATAATTGTCTAATATAAAATAGAATTTAAAAATTTAGTTTAAAAAGCTGTTGCATATATAAATAAAGTTTATTTTTTCTAAATTTGGAATATGTTTAATTAATTAATTTTTTAAGTCTATGTTTAATAAATTTTTTAAGTCTGTATTCAATAATTTTATTCATTTGATAAATACATGTATGTCTTTATTTTGATATGTTTAATATAATTAGAAATTCATTATTAATTAGATATGTAAACTATAAATTCATATATAATATTTGAAAATATATGTGAATATTTAAATTTTTATCTTCTCCTTCCTCTCCTTCAATCTCTTTAATATCAATATGTGTATGTGTGTACACGCGCGCACATTTGTACGTATTTATTTAATTATTGGATAGTTGAGAGTACTTAATTGATAAAAAATTATGACAATAATAATCCTTGTTTTTTTTCTTATTATTTACTCAGATTTTTTTGTCTATCTTATAAGATAAACACTTTAGAGATTGAATATTTCAAGTAAACTAATTGTAAGTAAATTTCACATTAATGCATATAGATGTTTAATCATGAATGTACTAAATAAGTACACAAGACGAACAGTGAGTGAGTGTGAGAATGAGAGAGTGTGTGTGTGTGTGTGAAAGAGAGAGAGAGAGAGAGAGAGAGAGAGAGAGAGAGAGAGAGAAGAGAGAGAGAGAGAGAGATCGAGAGAGAGAGAGAGAGTTAGCCAACATAACCCCGCACGCTGCCGATATGGCGGAGCGCCACTATCGCCATCTGTTGTAAAACGTGCGAGATGGACAAAATTACCACTACATGCATCTTGCATGTGTTGTGTACGTGTGATATATGTGTGCGCATGTGTTGTATACGTGTGAATACGTGATAACGATACTACTATGTATGCGTGGTCGATGATGATGATAATTACGGGGACGATTCTGAATAGAAATTTTTCATATATGACTTTATTATAAATTCGCTTACAAATCAGACGTAGAGCAGAAATAAAGACACTTTTATTATATAATTCGAACTCAATCTATCGATTAAGTCTAGTATAAACTCGATTGCTTCAGCCATTATTGAGGATTCGAAATATTATAAAGACTCAAATGTCCGACTCGCGTTAAGATACACGGTGTCTCCGCTACGCCCTTAACTGGTCGCGAGACACTACCGTTCTATATATTCTTTAATTAATATTTAAATATTAATTAATAGTTATGCGATTATATACTATACCTTGTATACATACATGTATATATATATATATATATATATATATATATGTATATATTTATATTTATATTTATATAATTCTTTATAATATTACTATGTTAACATACGTGACCATTATAACAAATATATATTTATAATATATCTAATTTACAATTTTAATGTAAATTGTAGCACCTGTATACTGCGCATGATGCAACACGTTTCACCGATGAAATATTTTGGAAAGGCGTTCGCTCGTATAGAAATAACACGTGAGTAATACAATATAAAATGTAATATAAAACATAAAATTATATAAATCTTAAATAATTTATAATAATACAAATATTATAGAATGTCCCTTATTATTTCGCTTCTTCTGACATTTTTCGTATTGTTTTCTTTTAGTTTTACAATTTCGCTATTTTCCTAGATCTGCTACTAGACTTATTTTTACTTTCATTACTTTTATTATGAAAACCGCTTTTGTTGAAACAAATTGTTGTTCTGTTACTTTTTCATATATACATATTCAATATTGTTTTTTTTGTTTCAATTTCTTATTTTTCATAATAATTTTTAATTAATTTTATTCTTTTTATTATTTCCTTTATTTCTTTCTATCGTGTATTATTTTTATGTGTTCTTTTTATTAAATTTTGTGCTACATTCGTTTTTAATCTTATTTTAAATATATCTAACACGTATATCTCTTTTGCATTGCTTTCTTTATTTTCATTTCATGTTTTTTCGTAGAACGATTTCTTTTATTATATGTTTTTCATTTTTTGTGCTTTCTTTATCTTCAATTTATTTGTTTTGTTATTTCTTTATTAATCATTTTATAACTCTTTCAATACCTTGATCAAATATAATCTATATTATTAATATCTAACAAATCAAATAAAATTATTTTTATTCAATTTATGTTATTATCATCATATAAATATAAGATATATATTTAGGTGCGTTCTTGTTCGTCAATTATGTTTCGCCGTTATCGCGGATTGAGTGAGGATATTTTATCCGGAATATTAATTTGAGGTTGCACAGTATAATGTATCTTACTTCATTTTATTTGTGTCACAAAAGACCTGATACAAACTTTAACTTTTCGCCGGGAAACAAAACGTGTTACGCGAACGCAAGTCTCTGGCCTCGAGGCCGCGCATTGTCTCGCTTCTCTCCATCATTCCGCGATCTTATTTTTATTTTTAGGTGATTAGACTCTATCTTTATTTTGAGGTACTCTCGCTTTTTATTATGTTCGGTAATCGAAATTTACTTTCGTCATGTTAATCGCTCGTTTATTTATTTATTGTTTTGTGTTACCGGTCGCGATATCCTTAACACACGTCGCTTGTAATTTTAATTTTTATTTTGTATATATTTTATATGCTTGTGGCATTTATTGCCACATATAAATATATAAATAGAAGTGCAATTATATTTTGCTTCTTAGAATTTATTAAAATTTTTTTAATATTAAAATTATACATGCAATTTTAACATATTTATGTTTTCTTTACATAATTTACATACTTTGTAATTTAGCCAATTTCATCGTCAAAGTTTTATGACTTTTTTGGAAGAAGTTGTTGCTGATGCAAAAAATGTAGATACTGAAATATCATTACAAACAATGGAATATTGGACTTTGGAAGAGCATTGTCCTCTCATCAAAGTAGTACAAATTATAGTGATCATGGGAGCTACATACATGTATCGGTACAAAATTACGACACATTAGAAATTGATTGCATTCCTGTAACTTTTACGACCCAGACGTATACCAATTTTAACAATTTTCCTCACTACTGGCTATGCAAATCATGGGATTTAAATTCAACAAACTCATTTCTTGAGAATGGTTGGATGATATTCAATATACAACAAATTGGTAATTATCGACCAATTGACTTATTATTATGACTTATTACTCGTCTTTATTTTACACACACAATTAACATTATTTTATATTTTTTCTGTTTTATACAGTACTATATAAAAATTAGAGATATTCATTATATATTCATTATATAAACTACAATAGTTTTAAAATGCTTTGTGTAATGTTCTGTGTTTGTATTATTATTATATTAATAATTAATATAGATATATATATATATATATATATATATATATATATATATAGGCGTTTTCTACGTAATATCAATATTAAAGTTATATTTTTACAAATATTTTATTCTAATAACAGTAAAAATGACTAAAAAGTTAACTATATTTATAAAATTAGTATACTAATATGAGTATACAGATCAAATAAAATATATATATGCACAACTAAAATCAATTTTATTTTATGCTATACAACAATATCTCGCACAATTTCATTTTTAATTTATAATTAATTTTCAATATGTATTTGCATCTTATTGAACTTTTGATACGTTTTTAATTTATAATTTTATAAACGAAAATATTAAACAAAAATGTTTGAAATTAAGTGTATATTAATAATAAAAATTATTCAAAATAATAAAAATTGTTAAAATTTATTTATTATTCGACAGGATATTACCGCGTTAACTATGATAATGAGAATTGGCGAAGAATTTCAGATTATCTATACAATGATGATTTTACGACAATTCATGTTCTTAATCGTGCCCAAATTATCGATGATGCATTTCATTTAGTGATAGCAGGTCACCTCAACGCCTCTATATTCTGGAGTATCACATTGTATTGGGATAAGAAGAAGATTATATCGCATGGTATCCTATGTTTAAAGCTCTGGAATACATGTTTGGTACTTTTCCAGTGGAAGAAAAACTGAAAAATTTGCGGTAAATACTAATCAATTTCAATGAAAGTATTACATTTGAATATTTATATATACACTGATTGATCACAAATAATTTAAATATTATAGAGAAATATATCTAGCGATAAAGTTTTACATATTATTACGTCTCACATAAATGTGCAAACAAATTCAGTTTGAATAATCACTCACGCGATAAACAGTTCCCAAAGTGTATGATTTTCACTACTGTGAATAATATTAATATATAACATTGTTATTGGATATATAGCTGGATGCTTAAAATCTTTGTCGATAAATTATAATTATAAACATATTAATAAAGAAATATATATTTAATGATTTTTAGGATAGAATAGATAAGCTAAAATTCATGTTAAACGAGTTACTTGAAAAAATCCAATATGAAGAAATTGATGATGCAGACGAACTTAGAATATGTTTACGACAAGAAGCTGCAAGATGGGCATGTTTTTTTGGTCACACCATTTGTATAGAAAAAGCAAAAAATAAATTAGAACAACATATCAAAGATCCTATAAAACACAGGTAAATATTGTTATATATATTTAGCTTTTTGTAATCAAATTTCCTTGTAGATATCTCCTATAATGTTCAAATGAATTAATACGAAAATCTTTAATAAGAAAATTAAATTCAATTTATATTTTAGACTTTTGCCATGGTGGAAGACATGGACATATTGTAGAGGTTTGATGATAACTACGAGAGATGAGACCACTTTTGAATCAGTGTATACCATAGGAGTAAAGAAAGCTGACTATAAATTTTCAGAATACTTGGCTTGCATTGGAGATACTGATTTCATCAAATACTATTTAAGTTATAAACAGTACAATAATACAAAACAGGAAAATCGATTTCTCGTTAACACATTCTTACATTTTATTACGAAGCATGCGAAGAATCCAATTATACTGCAGTATATATTCGATAATTTTAACGAAATAAAACCAAAGTAAAGTGACATATTTTTATAAATATTTTGTACAAAAGTTTATTATATGTATTATATATATACATCTGATTTTTTTTGTTTTTAGAAATCTTAATATAATTGCAGCATTTATTATTATGATTAATAACGTATATTCCGAAAATCTAGTTGAGGTAAAAATGTTACATGTTTAAATATGTATACAAAATATGATAATAATGTGATATTAATAATTATTATTTAATGTTTAAAATAATTTTCATAATGTTACCATAATGTTGTTCATTAATAATGGTATTAAAATTATACATTTTAGTTAATAGAGAAACAATCTGAAATTATTGTAGAAGCTAACGTAATTGAAGTGAATACAGAACATTTATTTAGAAGACATCGAATAAAGGAGGTATATTTAATAAATATTATTATGGAAAGCGAAAGAAAATGAAAAATTGTTCTATCTGTGTGATTAATTTCTGAATATTATTTTTATATCTAATTCTTTGTTATATAATTAGTATGTTGATTTTATTATGACAATCTTTGTTTATATATATTAAGATTTGTATAATGCGGAATGAGATTACTATATTTATCTAATTATATTATAATTAATGAAACGATTTGTTTTAGATGAGTGACCGTGTAATAGATAAGGATGAATTATATTCCTATATTACAATCAAGATTCAAATTATTCGCAAAAAACAAATCGAGAAGCAGAGACAATATTTTGCAAGATTTTTCTTCTAATCGGTGGATGTAAAAAAATTGCAGCTTTGCATACGTGGACATACTTTATATAAATAATTTTTTTATATTGTATCTACTATATCTTTTACTGCTCTAAATATTGTTTATTTAGATGTATTACTATCCGATTTATATATTTGCCTTTTTATATTTACAAAACGTTATAACTGCATGCATCAAGATTTTTATGTTTTTGCGATCTTGTTTGAAGTAGTAAAATTATATATTATTGCAGAAATTAATTATTTTTTACATTCAATATTATTAATTATGTAGAATTTGTGATTGATTAGCATTTTTTAGTTTATAATAAATAACATGACACATTTCTCTCTCTCTCTCTCTCTCTCTCTCTCTCTCTCTCTCTCTCTCTAATTTTAAAAAGTTATTTAAATAAAATATTAATCTTAATATATTATATATATATATATATATATATATATATATTAATAGAAAAATATTGAAAATAACGATATAAAACTGCAAGGTCAAAAGAATATTGCATAACTTGTCACATAGCAATAACACAGCAATAACATTTGTCACAAGTTTATAATAAGTGCGCGTCTAACATGTGCTTGTTTCAATCAACGCGATGAATTTTAATATAAAAAATTATCATTGAAATCTTTGATTTGCATAGACAGGTAGAGTCATTACAAAATAGGATTTTTCATCTCACCAGCGGGTTATTTAATCGTTTACCTGTACTCGCGTGGAATAGAATTTTCGAACATCATAACATTGCTTTTAAAAATTGCCACAACAGATTGGTTACTGCACACGAAAAGAAATTCAATTGGCTTAAGAGAAAACAACACTATAAGTATATCAACAGCATCAAACCTATAGATATACATTGTTCTTTACATTTTGAAACTTCACAACCGACGAAAATATCACAAAATTCTCTCAGGGCAATCACTAATGATGCCAAGGAGATCAATATACACATAGAAGCCAATAAATTTCTCAATGATACAATTAACCCTTTGGAAAATACTAATAAAAAATGGTTGGTTAATCTTTCCAACACAGACATTCCGCCTAACGTTTCTAATCTGTTGCAAATGGGTGATAAATTCTGTCTTCCGAATATTAGTAAAAAAACAGCGATACATGAATTCATCAAGGACATAGAGAGTAATAGCAAACGAAATAATATTAATAATCTCACAACGATCAGAAATATCGCGGTTCCAAAATTTGCACAACTTCTGAACACGAAGGATAAAAATGACGTAAGTCAACAAAAATTACTTGGTGCACACAGAGATTTAATAAAATTTTGTAAAGACAATCCGAATGTTCTATTCACACGCGCGGACAAGGGTAATGCTACGGTGGCAATGGAAAGATCTCATTATATTAACAAAATGGAAAACGTTTTAAAAGATGTCAACACTTACACTATTGTTAAAAAAAATCCGTGCAAAAAAATAGAGAACGATTTGAATGATTTGTTGAAGAGATGGCTTAAGGAAGATTATATTTCAAAAAACGAATATTATAAATTACGTTGTAGTGATTCTCTCCTTCCAAAAGCGTATGGATTACCTAAAATCCATAAGGAAAACTATCCAGTTAGAATCATAGTTTCATCGGTTGATACAGCTCTATACTCGCTGGCTTCGTTTTTACAAAACACCTTACGAACTAGCCTACCCAAAGCGAAAAGTCATATTAATAATAGTTTTGATTTGTACAGCATATTGTCTGGTAAAAAGATTGATGAGAATGATAGGATGTTTTCCTTGGATGTGGTGTCTTTGTTTACGAACGTTCCTCTGGATCTTGCGATTGACGGTATTAACGATAGATGGGATCACATTGGAATAAATACTAAAATACCGAAAAACGAATTTTTGGGGGGTATAAAATTCATATTGACTTCTACATATTTTACATTTGATGACATAATTTATAAACAGACGTTTGGGACCCCTATGGGGTCACCGTTATCACCAATTATTGCAGACCTGGTTATGCAAGATCTTGAGGATACAGTTCTCAAAGCGTTGAATTTGGAATGTTTGTTTTATTTTCGTTATGTGGATGACATAATAGTGGCCACCTCTATGACTAATATGACTCAGATTGTGAATAATTTTAACAACTATCATGAAAGACTTAAATTCACGGTCGAACAAGAGGTTAACCATAGCTTGAATTTCTTAGATTTATCACTTAAAATTATTAATAACAAAATATATATAGACTGGTATCAAAAAGAAACCTTCTCAGGAAGGACGTTATCATTTTATTCAAACCACCCATTATGCCACAAAATTGGAATAATATATAACCTTGTAGACAGATGTCTATTGCTATCACATCCACTATTTTTAATAAAAATTTGGAGTTAATTATTAATATACTCAGAAGCAATGGTTACCCTCTTGATCTGATTTTTAACAAAATTAATCATCGGATAGAACACATCATATCTAAGGGGAGCATTATAGAGAGACAGGCCAACATAGAAAGAACAAAAAGTATAAGAAATGACTCGGTCAATAAAAAATTCTTTGTCATTCCGTATATAGATGGGATCTCAGAAATGATTGTTTCCTCGGTAAAAAATAAAAATTGTATGGTAGGGTATAGATGTCTCAACAAACTGGATAATATTATTAAAGCGCAGAAAGATAAAACTAAACATCCATGCAATTCGAATGTGGTTTATAAGATCAGTTGCAATAATTGTAATGCATCTTATGTAGGCCAAACAAAGAGGCAATTGCAGACGCGAATAAAAGAACATAAAAATAATATTAGGTTGGACTCAACGAAACATTCAGTAATTTCTGAACACATAATAAATGAACATCATACTTTTAATTGGGACAATGTTAAGATCATGGACAACGAAAATAATTATTATAAAAGACTCATTTCTGAGATGCTACATATCAAGGAACAAAAAAATGGACTAAATTTAAACAAAGATACTGAGTTACTTAGCGAGTCGTATTTTGATATTTTGGATATATTAGCGAACAAGAAATAATAATAGGACAAATAGGACATTAACGAGTAAAACATAGATATTAGATCATATATAAACACGCACGCTCTCCGATCAAGTAGAGTTTAAAATGAGCTGTCTTTCTGTATTGTTGGTTTGTTATGTGTCATCCTTAATAACTGTTAATAAGTAGCAAAATTGTCAAGAAGAACGATGATAGGTAAGCATACTACCAATTGTAGGGGATACATATTATAATTTGGACATACGTTGATCGGTAATTTTTTATTAATCGCAGCGCCTACGGAACGGGTTAATTTCTCGCATATTAACGATGAAACTATCCGAGATCTGAACAAAATCAGGGATCATATCGAGGCGAACATTGTTGGACAGGACGGATTGAAACACGCGTTAATTGCTCAAAAACTCTTGATTCTGAATAACTATAATTAAATTTCGATATTATGTGAATTGTAAGAATTTATATTTCAATAACTATACTGAAGAAGACCGCGTGCGGTCGAAACGTTTATAGAATGATTGTAATTTGCGTTAGTTTTAATATAATGACTGTAGTTTTATAATTTATACATGTAATAAATGGTAGTTGACTGAACATCTCGAATATTCAGCTCGATAAGTTGGCCTTATATTTATCACTTTGTTTTCAATATACGAGCGACAATTGTATTAATTTATTTTTAAAAAATTATCTTATTACTTCATTTGAGTTTTTATTATTCCGTTTCTTACTATTCTTAATGATAAATGTCGAATCTTATTTAAAATATTTTTATAGCTTATCGATTAGAATATGTAAAGAAAGCTACTATACGTAATATACGCACATATTTACGTATAATTGATTCCGGAACCGTAAGATTGAAATAATTTTCGACCCATAAAAATTTATCGAATAAAATGCCTTTGAAACTTAAAAATATTATAATTTACATTATTTACATAAAAGAAAATAAATATTAAACTAAACACATGCTGTGTGTGTAAATTTATAGTACGAATTTTTAACAGATATCTTTGGCTGATTTAATACTTTAATTGATAATTCAGTAATTCTAACACTAAATAAAATATTGTAAAAAGGAAAGAAGTATCGTATATTAATTTTCTCAAACATTTAAATTAAAATTAAAGATAATTAAATTTAATTCTTACTTGCACAATTAAAATCAATTTAATATTTCACATATTGCCAAGAATTAAATTGACACATATAAAAGAGTATCAACGCGCATTGAAAAATTTATTAAATTAAAAAATATTTTTATTTCTATACAGCTATATAAATCATTTATTTGATACAAATAAATATTTATCTGTATTGAAAAGAATTTTCTTACATCAAACAATAAATATTTTTCACATTTAATCGATATTATTAGTTTTAAATAAATAATTTTTATTATACAGGAGTATTGAATTAAATATTTTATTTAAATTAATAAAAATTTCATTGCGCTATCAGAGAGATTTGATAAAATAAACTTTGTTTAAAATTTTTAGAGGCCTTCTATGTATAACATAATATATGTTCGGAAGATAAAAATATAATAATTATTATATAATTATCAATTATAGAATATTTTAATTTTTCAAAGAAATTCGCAATATAAAGTCGCAGCAATTGTTGTCACATCTGGTTTGATGTATCGCGATAGTTCATCGGAAAGTCACGATTTATAATCAAAATTGTATTCTATTTTGGCTTTATCCTTAGTTTATTTATTTAAAAAGCACAATATTGTGCATAAAGACATTTATATAAATAAATATATATATCGAACAAAATATAAAATAATATATTTTAATAACGTATTGTTGTTATTTCAGAACCAAGGTTTCTCTTCCGAAAAATATACTTTATACAATATTTATAGAATTTAAAAGGAGCGTCGTGTCGTAAGTACATGGTGTTATTTCAAATAGAGTATTTTTGAGATTTGATAGTTATCATTATTTTTTAAACGTTTTATGTTCTTTTCTAACAAAAATATAAAACATCTCGTAATATGTATTTATCTTTCAATATTATTTTATTTTAATAAACTTCTGCACAAAATAATGTGGATAAATTGATTGGTATAAGAAACACATTCCAGTGATTTAAAAAAATTGCAATTCGTAGCAATGTGCAACTACATACATTTTTAAAATAATGATATATTTATAATAATTGAATTCTATTACTATTTTGTGCAAAAAATTATTAAGATAAAATTATCGAAGGATGAATATAAAAATTTAAATGGGCAAAATTTCAATGTGTTCAATTAAGACAACAGTTACACAAAAATGCCGCCACACACACAAATATATATATGTAAATATATATACATATAACGACCAAAAAAATTGCAATTTATAGCAATGTGCATTTGCATACATTTATATTAAATAATGACATATTTATACTAATTGAATTATTAAGATAAAATTATCGAAGGATGAGTATATGACGAGAAAGTACACAATATTTTTAGCAAATATCTTTTTGAAATAAGTCATATAAATGTGTATATAAATAATGCCTAATACTATTTGATTAATTGGGCAAAAGTTAAATGTGCTAAATTAAATCAACCGTTACACACAAATGCCGCCATACACCCAAATATATATATATATATATATATATATATATAACGACCTTAGAAGTTTTGTTGATTTAACACATCATATTTAGCATGAAGACACGAACAGAGAATCAGTCAGTCTTTCGTGGCCTTTCAAACCACGTCGCCGTAGATATAATACTTTTATTAAAGTGTGTGAATATATTATATTCTTCCAACATTGAATACTTTTAAAGCATTATTTGCTGTAGTTCATTTTTAACACGATATATAACTTTCCAATTAACATTCTGTTTCGAAATATTCGGTAAGTCAAAACAATTTTCATACATATAAAACATATATGTGTCTACGAATTCAAGAAAATTTAATCATACGGTAGGACAGAATTTTATAGAATTTCCAACATATGTATAGAAATAGAGAGAATAGTTTCATTTAAAATTATTTGTAAATTTTAATCCAGAGATAATTTCAAATAATATCGATAATATAATATTTTACGAATTGTAATATGTTTGGTGAATTATTAGTTTTATTAGGTGAAATGTTGTAATAAATTTAGAGACGTTGTATTATCGTTATCCACTTTAATTCTGCATTTAAAATATTATAAATGACTTACAATAACCGCAAGGTATAACTTTCGCTTGCGAGATATAATTCTATTTGTTTTTTCTTTAGCGAGTTTGCTGAGCGAGTGACAAGTTATCGATTCTCCGGTCATCTGCTTATATCGGTTAAGCTGTTATAATTTGTTTGTTTTGATATTTTGCCTTTTGTTACCTGTTCCTTATTATTGTTTCGTTCGTTGTCATATATATACATATATTCGATCGCCGACTTTCGTTCTCAATTCAATTTAATATTTTAAAATAAAATTGAAATTATATTTCAATATAAAATAAATTTTAGTTCCGGTATTTATCGTCACAGTTGAAATAATCTTAAACCCACAAAAGTTTGATATCGAATATTTAATTTTTGAAAGTTGCAAATACTACAGTTAACAGATAATGTATATTATAATAGACACTTTTAATTGTCTTTTCATTACTAAATTATTAAAATTCTGTTTTCCAAAATTTCTCGTACCTTCTACTTTTTATAAAAAAATATCTGTATGTCTTTTAATACTTAAATTAATTTTGAAGTTGTGTATTGAAAATAACTTTATCAAAATGAAGAATCAAATATTAAATTTTGTTGTTGAAAATTATATATATAATTAAGGAGAATAAAAAATAGAACAATTATTTTTATAATCTGTATTCGATATATCGCCTTATAAGGAGTATTATGAAAATTTGAAAAAATTTATTTTGTTAAGTGAGAAATAAATATAAATACAACACTAAAAAATAAATAGAATCATATTAATTATCAAGTTTGAAGTAGACATAATACTAAATATTTTACTTAAAATTTTTACAGAAATATTTTATATATAACGTTCAAAAAAAACGCACGTTAATATTAAAAACACATAAATACTAATTTATATCGATTTATTAAGATATTCAATTAAAGTTGAAACATTTTAAATATATTAAAATTGTAAAAATTATTAAAATTTAATTATTACTCATTATTAAGTTGTATTTCTCAAATGTATTAGTATTCTACCACCAATATATATACAAAATAGTTGTCAAAATAGAAATTCGTCTAATTAAAGTTATATGAACATAATTGAAATACGGCGACTTAAAATTATGATCATATTCATAGCATCAAGCAACTGTCTTTGCCAAAATTAACAATTTGACAATTGTAAAATGAATAATAGAAATAAAATCAAAAGCGCGCTCTTGTGTCGTCTAGTAATTTAAAAAAGACAACAATACTATATTTAAGTTCTCTATTTGTCTTTTGCTTACAATGTGTTTTACAGATCTAGAATAAATATTTCTTTTCCGACATGATAATATTTCTAAAACTATTATTAAGCAGCGGGTTAATGTTCATCGCTGAGACGGTTTTTATTCTTAATGAATCATCTTTATGCTATGAATCATCAAAATATATAACACCAAACCATTACGATATCAAGTTTATATCATCAATTGAAGAAAACATTTTCTATGGAGAATACAATATCAGCATAAGCATTCTTAACAAAACACAAAATATATTGTTCAACAACATATATCCAGAAAAAATATATTTTGAAAATATAGTTTTAATTAAAAATTTAGAAAAACATCATAAGAATGCTAAATATACAGTTTATAAACCGACATATAATATTGAAGAAGACATAATTGATGTTTCTTTTGATGATGAGTTATTACCAGGAAATTACATTTTAATTATAAAATATTTCGGTATTACTGATACAGTTTTTAGAATTTTCGATATGAAAGAAAAACTTGCGTAAGTAAATAATATATGTTTATTAAAATCAATGTGTAATGTGCAATTACATGAAACCTTGTAATTAATATATATTATTTATGCATTAAATGTTTCAAAAATTATTATATATCATAAAATTTAAATATAAAGACAATTATTCTATACCTTTAGAACATATTATTACATATTACACATTTATACATTTTTAAATTCCAACATTTTGATGCTTGCTAAAAATGTTTCATTAATTTATGTTCTTTAAAATGTATAGTTTCGTAGCTGCTACTCATTTTTATATAATAGGCACACGACATATAATGAGTACGTGTTGGGATGAAAAGTATTTATTCTTAGAACCAACCTTTAACATATCTATAGGATGTAATCAATGCACGGCTTTGTCAAATATGCCATTGCGAAATACGGAAAAAAATAAGTACAATATGTTATGGACACACTTTGATACCACACCTGCAATGTCGCCGTATCTTGCAACGATAATTGTGTCCAATTACTTAACACGTGTTGATAATAATACTCAACATATTCAAATGTGGTGCAAAAACGAATCTGTATTTTACATGGAATTTGCAAAAAATGTAGCTGAAATAACCACGTTGTTCTATAAAACTAAATGGAAACAAGGTTCGAACAGTATTTCGAAGGTGACTCATGTTGCAATTCCAAATTTCCCTGACAATGGCACGATAACTTTTGGACTTGTTTTGTATAAGTGAGTACAAATGCTTAAAATTACATTAAAAATAAAATTATATATTAGTATGCAAAATTATAAAATTTGAAAACATGTATAACTTATTTTGTTTCTGTAAACGTTCGAAATTATAAGATATTGTCGAAACAAACAATTTTAAGTAGTAAAAGTTAAATTTATTTGTATTATAATTCAAAAAGTTGAAGTTTATTATTCTAATATAAATACATGAAAGAAAAAATTTTTATATTTATCGGATTCCCCAAGGTAAATGTTAAAATTGTAATAAAGCTACCCAGCAAACACAGTATATAAATGTTATATACTCAAGCATGTTACATGTAACGTATATGTTAGTTGTCATTTCCCACTCATAGATGTAACATTTTTAATATTACATATATTACATTGTAGTTATATTGGCATTATATCCCAAGATAGCACTGACTTATCAATACACCAATGTGCTATTTGGTATATAATTACAATATAACTACAATGTAATATATGTTATATTAAAATGTTACATCTATGAGTGGGAAATTACAACTAACATGGATGTTACATGTAACGTACACGTTATATTACCTGTTATATTCCATTTTATTACAGCAATGTAACAATTATATATCGGTGTTTGCTGGGTATAAAAGAAATGACATCTTTTTATTTATTTAAAACTAAATTTCTTCATCAATAATATACGCATGAACACAAAATCATTGTTTTATTCTTAAATTAAAAATTAAAAAACATATTATTTGGTACGATTTACAATACTGATTTGCTAAATGAAGTTTTATTTTCTTTAAAAGTTCTCAATCTTAATATTTAAATATAACTTTCAGCGAAATGGATATCGTTTACGATAAGAATTTATATCCTATTGCTCACAAAATCGAAATAGCTCAATTAGTAGGACATAAAGTGACACAGCAACGGTTTTATAATCTGAACAATCCGTTTCGATCGTCTTCTTGGTTTAATGAAGTTCTTACTACATTGCTTACAACGTATGCTCTCGATTCGGTAATTCTAAATATTTTTAACGCTATCACGCTCCTATCACTTTCTTGGAAACGATACCATACTTAAGCATTTATATAGCAAGATTTTCGTTTATCAAATTGTTTTTACAAAATGCATAAATTCTTACTAAACTGTTTGAAAAACATTTAATAATATATACATATGTATACAACATTAAACTAGTTTTTTACAAATACTTTTTTAAATATTTACATTTATATAGATATAATGTAAGATATGAAAAATTTTTTTATATTTTAACACTATTTTATCTGATATTTTTAAATTTTTATGAAATCTAAAATAAAATAAATTAATCAAAAACTAGTACACCCGATATTTAATTTGATTATTTGGTAAAGAGAACTCTGCGCGATATAATATCTAGAGGTACTAATTTTAAAAATATTTGTTAATTATATTAATACAAAATTTTAGATATTATTATTATATTTATTCGTATGTTTTACAAAATGTGAGAAAGTGTTATTTTTAACATAGAAGAACCGCTAATGATATTATTAGTATTTTCTTCTAATGCTTGCATTTTCAGAGCGGTTATATCGATATATTAATAATTTTTTTTATAGATTTATCGAGATAATAGAGCAACAAATTTATTTGTTGTTCAAAATCAACATACTTCTTTTTATTTGGATGATTATGATTTGTGGAATTCTATTTCACAAGATGACAGTTTATTGAAAATTCGCGAATCCATCAGAGGTATAACGTAATATAATAAAATAATCTACGTAAATTTTGAACTATTAATATTATAAAAATATGTGTCTAGTTATAGGATAATTAATTCTTTATCTGGATTTTATTAAAAAAATGAGATTATAAAAGTACACACACACACACACAGACACACGTACATATTTATGTATATTCTTTAATTAATATTTAAAATATATACATATAGGTATATATATATACATATATATATATATATATATATATGTATATATATATATACCTATATGTATATATTTTAAATATTAATTAAAGAATATACATAAATATGTATATATACAGGTATATGTATACATAAAGTGTCCGGTAATAATCGCGCATATGTGTGTAGAGGATATTAATTGAATAGTCCTTTAATGTTTTGCTATCTTCGTAAGAATTAACGAGACATTTATTTTTAATATAAAATGATAAACCGTGCGACAATAGAAGACATTTCACTGTTATGCGATTATATTACTGTACATTGTACCCAGCTAACCATTTCTGCAGAGACAAATGTAAGCAACAACTTTTGTTTTGTAAAATGGCCGCAGATAAAAAACATATTTTGTCATTACAAACACTGTGAGCATAAATTCAGTAAATATTTCCCAACATCTGTTAGCAGACTATATTGACAAAGTGGCAATGAGTAGCAAGCAGATCTGTCGAAAGTGTTGACAGTAGATTGATGCCAAAAATGCAGCAAATCCTTCAGATCTAGGATTTTTCTTCGATTTGCTGAGCATTTGACGCAAATCTGTCCTCAATTTACGATTGACAAATCTGTTCCCAGTCTGTTGTCAATCTGTCGTCGCACTGTTAGTGACAGATCTGCTCTGGCGTTGAACCCAACATGATGTTAGGATATACTTTCAACTTTTGATTGCAATTGGAGTGCACTCGAGGACACAGTAGGCCCTGGATTTGCAGCCATATTTGATCGTATTTTGTTTCCCGATTGTTAACAATTTCCAAGCAAATGGTTAGCTGGATATACAATATATATATATATATAATTTTTCTTTATAATATCACTATGTTTACATGTAACTATTATAATAAATATATATATTTATACTATATCTAATTTATAATTTTGATGTAAATTGTAGCACCCTGTATACTGCGCATGATACAACACGCCGTAACCAAAGAAATATTTCAAAAAGGCGTTCGCTCATATACAAATAGCACGTGAGTATATAATATAAGAAAATAAAATCATTTAAATCTTAAATAATTTATTATAATACAATTTTTATATATTGTCTCTTATTATTTCGCTTTTGCTGACATTATTTCATATTGCTTTTTTTTAGTTTTACAATTCCGCTTTTTTCCTAGATCTGCTACTAAATCCTTACTTTCACTTTCGTTACTTTTACTATGAAAACCGCTTTTGTTGAAACAATATGTTGTTTTTTTATTTTTTCATATAATACATATATTGAACGTTGTTTTATTTTTGTTTCATAATTTATTATTTTCCAAAATCATTTTTAAATTAATTTTTATTCTTTTTATTTTAATTCCTTTTCTTCATATCGTCTATAAGTTTTATAATATTTTTTTTTTTTTTTTTTATTGAATTTTGTGCTACATTTGTTTTTTAATGTTATTTTAAATATATCTAACACGTATATCTTTTTTCCATTACTTTCTTTTTTCATATTATTTCTTTCGTAGAACGATCTCTTTTATTATATTTTTATTATTTCTTGTTTTGTTTTTATTTTTATTTGATTTGTTTAGTTATTTCTTTTATTAATCATTTTATAACTCTCTCAATCTTTGATCAAATATAATCTGTATTATTAATGCCTAACAAATTAAATAAAATTATTAAATTTTATTTAATATAATGTTATTATCATAATATAAATAAAGGTGCAATTATATTTTGATTCTTAGTATTTATTAAAATTTCTCATAATATTAAAATTATACATACAATTTTAACATATTTATAATGTTTTTTTGCATAATCTACAATAATCTACATACATTGTGGATTTAGCCATGTTCATCGTCAAAGTTTTATGACTTTTTTGGAAGAAGTTGTTGCTCATGCAAAAAATGTAGATATTGATATATCATTACAAACAATGAAATATTGGACTTTGGAAGAGCATTGCCCTCTCATCAAAGTAGTACGAAATTATGATAATCCTAAGAGCAACTATAGAATATCGATACAAAATTTCGACATATTAAAAATTGATTGCGTTCCTGTAACTTATGTCATCCAGTCGCTTCCCGATTTTGACAGTTCGATGCACCGCCTTTTATGCAAATCAAAAGATATAGAACTTACATTCACACATAAAGAGCGTGGTTGGTTTATAGTAAATGTACAACAAATAGGTAAATATCGACCAATTGACTTATTATGACTTATTACTCGTTTTTATTTTACACACGTACACAATTAACATTATTTTATATTTTTTCTGTTTTATACATTATTAGATATAAATCTGAGATATTCATTATATAACTACTATAGTTTTAAATGTTTTGTGTAATATGTTCTGTTGTATTATTATATATAATTAATAAAATGTATATATATCGACGTTTTCAACATAATATCAATCAATATTAAAGTTATATTTTTACAAATATTTTATTCTAATCATAGTAAAAATGATTAAAAAGTTAATTATATTTATAAAATTAGTATAATAATATAAGTGTAGGTGAGATAAAATTTTTGTACAGTTTCATGTTACAGAACTTTTGCTGATTAGTAAAAAATAATTATTATATATATGCACAACTAGAATCAATTTTATTTTATGATATACAACAATATCTCGCACAATTTCATTTTTAATTTATAATTAATTTTCAATATGTATTTGCATCTCATTGAATTATTGTTATGTTTTTAATTTATAATTTATATAAACAAAAATATTAAACAAAAATGTTTGAAATTAAGTGTATATTAATAATAAAAATTATTCAAAATAATAAAAATTGTTAAAATTTATTTATTATTCAACAGGATATTACCGCGTTAACTATGATGATGAGAATTGGCGAAGAATTTCAGATTATCTATACAATGATGATTTTACGACAATTCATGTTCTTAATCGTGCCCAAATTATCGATGATGCATTTCATTTAATGATAGCAGGCCAACTCGAAGCCTCTATATTCTGGGATATCATATCGTATTTGCATGAAGAAGAAGATTATATCGCATGGTATCCTATGTTTAAAGCTCTGGAATACATATTTAGTGCTTTTCCAGTGGAAAATAAAACTGAAAAATTTGCGGTAAATATTAATCAATTTCAATGAAAGTATTACATTTAAAAATATTTATATATACACTGATTGATTACAAATAATTTAAATATTTATAGAGAAATATATCTAGCGATAAAGTTTTACATATTATTACGTCACAGATAAATGTGCAAACATTTTAGTTTGAATAATCACTCACGCGATGAACAGTTTTCAAAGTGTATGATTTTCACTACTGTAAATAATATTAATATATTGTACGGTGTGTTCAAAAAGTATCGCGAATTTTGTGTTTTTTCAAAAATTATTTATTTATTCATGAATATCTATTTTGTCCCCTTCAAAGTAATCCCCACCAGATATTATACACTTGTGCCAACGTTTTTTCCAATCCTCGAAGCACTTCAAAAAATCATTTTTTGTGATTTTGTTCAGCTCCTCCTTCGATGCCGTCTTTATCTCCTCAATCGTAGCGTAGCGTCGTCCTTTCATGGGCCTCTTCAGTTTCGGGAACAAGAAAAAGTCACAGGGGGCCAGATCTGGGGAATACGGTGGCTGCGGCATTATTAGTGTGTTGTTTTTGGCCAAAAATTGAGCAATTTTGGTACGAATTTCGCGGCGACCCGTGTCATGCCCAAATCATTGGTAAAAATCGAATGGCATGAGCCAATCGATATGTTTAGGTCCTCAGCAACTTCTCTAACGGTGATTCGACGATTGACCAATACTATTTTCTTCACTTCATCAATGTTTTCGTCTGTTGTTGACGTGCTCGGGCGTCCGGCACGCTCTTCGTCGTTCACATCTTCTCGGCCCTCGGAAAACATTTTGTACCACCGATAAACGTTGCTTCGGTCCAAGGTAGCTTCACCATATGCCACAGTCAACATTCGGAATGCGTCCGCGCACTTAATTTTGTTTTTCACACAAAATTTGATACAGATTCTTTGATCCATTTTTTGGAATAGGCAAAAATCGAAGACGAGCCAAAACACGTGCAAGCAAAGCAGCTGTCAAAAATTAACTGAACATTCAAAATGGCCGTACTTGTCGGCATAAATGAGAAACATGAGTACCAACATAACGCCACAAAAAAATCGAAAATCGAATATACGTAACCCGCAGAAATTCAAAATTCGCGATACTTTTTGAACACACCTCATATAACATTGTTATTGGATAAATAGCTGGATGCTTAAAATATTTGTCGATGAATTATAATTATAAACATATTAATAAAGAAATATATATTTAATGATTTTTAGGATAGAATAGATGGGATAAGAACCATATTACACGAGTTACTTGCAAAAATCAAATATGAAGAAATTGATGATGCAGACGAACTTAGAATATGTTTACGACAAGAAGCTGCAAAATGGGCATGTTTTTTCGGTGACATCACTTGTATGGAAGAAGCCAACAATAAATTAAAACAACATCTCCACGATTCTATAAAACACAGGTAAATTATGTTACATATTTTTATTTTTTCTCAATCAAATTTACTTGTAGATATCTCCTATAATATTTAAATGAGTTAATACGCCAATCTTTAATAATAAAATTAAATTCTATTTATATTTTAGACTTTTGCCATGGTGGAAGACATGGACATATTGTAGAGGTTTGATGACAACTACGAGAAATGAGATCACTTTTGGAATAGTGTATACTAGAGGATTCGAAACAACTGACATTAAATTTTCAGAATACTTGGCTTGCATTGAAGATACTGATTTCATCATACATTATTTAAGTTATAAACATGTCACTTATACAAAACAGCAAGATCAATTTCTCGCTAACACTTTCTTACATTTTATTACGAAGCATGCGAAGAATCCAATTATACTGCAGTATATATTCGATAATTTTAACGAAATAAAACCAAAGTAAAGTGACATATTTTTATAAATATTTTGTACAAAAGTTTATTATATGTATTATATATACATCTCATTTTTTTGTTTTTAGAAATGTTAATATAATTGCAGCATTAAGTATTATAATTAATAATGTATATTCCGAAAATGTAGCTGAGGTAAAAATGTTACATGTTTAATTATGTATACAAAATATGATAATAATGCGATATTAATAATTATTATTTAATGTTTAAAATAATTTTGATAATGTTACAATAACGTTGTTCATTAATAATGGTATTAAAATTATACATTTTAGTCAATAGAGAAACACTCTGAAAGTATTGTAGAAGCTAACGTAATTAAAGTGAATACAGAAAATCAATTTAGAAGACATCGAATAAAGGAGGTATATTTAATAAATATTATTATGGAAAGCGAAAGAAAATGAAAAATTGTTCTATCTGATTAATTTCTGAATATTATTTTTATATCTGATTCTTTGTTATATAATTAGTATGTTGATTTATTATGACAATCTTTGTTTATATATATTAAGATTTGTATAATGCGGAATGAGATTACTATATTTATCTAATTATATTATGATTAATGAAACGATTTGTTTTAGATGAGTGACCGTGTAATAGATAAGGATGAATTATATTCCTATATTACAATCAAGATTCAAATTATTCGCAAAAAACAAATCGAGAAGCAGAGACAATATTTTGCAAGATTTTTCTTCTAATCGGTGGATGTAAAAAAATTGCAGCTTTGCATACGTGGACATACTTTATATGAATAATTGTTTTATATTGTATACTATATCTTTTACTGCTTTAAATATTGTTTATTTAGATGTATTACTATCCGATTTTATATTTACCTATATTTAAAACGTTATAACTGCATGCATCAAGATTCTTATGTTTTTGCGATCTTGTTTGAAGTAGTAAAATTATATATTATTGCAGAAATTAATTATTTTTTACATTCAATATTATTAATTATGTAGAATTTGTGATTGATTAGCTTAATATTAATATTAATATTAATCTTATATATTATATATATATTAATAAAAAAATAAAAATAACGATATAAAACTGCAAGGTCAAAACAATATTGCATAACTTGTCACATAGCAATAACACAGCAATAACATTTGTCACAAGTTTATAATAAGTGCGCGTCTAACATGTGCTTTTGATCAATCAACGCGATGAATTTTAATATTAAAAAATTATCTTATTACTTCATTTGAGTTTTTATTATTCCGTTTTTACTATTCTTAATGATAAATGTCGAATCTTTTTAAAATATTTTTATAGCTTATCGATTAGAATATGTAAAGAAAGCTACTACGTAATATACGCACATATTTACGTATAATTGATTCCGGAACCGTAATATTGAAATAATTTTTGACCCATAAAAATTGATCGAATAAAATGCCTTTGAAACTTAAAAATATTATAATTTACATTATTTACATAAAAGAAAATAAATATTAAACTAAACACATGCTGTGTGTGTAAATTTATAGTACGAATTTTTAACAGATATCTTTGGCTGATTTAATACTTTAATTGATATTTCAGTAATTCTGACACTAAATAAAATATTGTAAAAAGGAAAGAAGTATCGTTTATTAATTTTCTCAAACATTTAAATTAAAATTAAAGATAATTTAATTTAATTCTTATTTGCACAATTAAAATAAATTTAATGTTTCACATATTGCCAAGAATTAAATTGACACATATAAAAGAGTATCACCGCGCATTGCAAAAATTATGAAATTAAAAAATATTTTTATTTCTATACAGCTATATAAATCATTTATTTGATACAAATAAATATATTTATCTGTTTTGAAAAGAATTTTCTTACATCAAACAATAAATGTTTTTCACATTTAATCAATATCATTAGTTTCAAATAAATGATTTTTATTATAAAAGAGTATTGAGTTAAATATTTAATTAAATTTAATAAAATTTTTTTTGCGCTATTAAAGAGATTTGATAAAATAAACTTTGTTAAAAATTTTTAGAGGCCTTCTATGTATAACATAATATATGTTCGGAAGATAAAAATATAGTAATTATTATATAATTATCAATTACAGAATATTTTAATTTTCAAAGAAATTCGTAATATAAATTCGCAACAATTGTCGTCACATCTGGTTTGATGTATCGCGATAGTTCATCGGATAAGATAAGTCACGATTTATATTCAAAATTGTATATCATTTTCGCTTTATTCTCACAGTTTGTTTATCTAGTATATATATAATTTGAGCAGAAAAAAAAGGAAACAGATCTTCGAAAATATTTTGTATTCACTTTTTAAAGAAATGTTATATGAAAAAACTAATTTTATCAGTTATAAATCTTTATAGTTTTGCACACAGAGTACGATATAATAAATAATCAAAGTAGTAAAACTTTAAAATTAGAGAAAAATTGATATAAAAAGACGAAAAAATAGTACAAATCGTGATTAATAAATAATCAATTATAATATTTACGATTTTATAACATATACAGGCGTAAGTAGACACAATATTGTGCATAAACATGTATATAAATAAATGTATATTTCTAACAAAAAAATATAAAGTAACCCATTTTAAATAACGTATTGTTATTTCAGAACCAAATTTCTCTTCCGAAAAATATACTTTATACAATATTTATAGAATTTGAAAGGAGCGTCGCGTCGTAAATATATGGTCTTATTTCAGGTGGAGGCATTTTTGAGATTTGATAGTTATTATTATATTGTTAAACGTTTTATGTGTTTAATATTGACAAAAATATAAAACATCTTGTAATATATTTATCTTTCGATATTATTTTAGCTGAATAAATTTCTGCACAAAATAATGTGGATAAATTGATTCGTATAAAAAAAAACACTACAGTTGATTTAAAGAAAATTGCAATTTATAATAATGTGCAACTACATACATTTTTTAAAATTATGAAACATGTTTACACTAATTGAATTATATTACTATATTTTGTGCATAAAATTATTAAGATAAAATTATCGAAAGTGCATGTATATAAAGAAAAATTACACTATATTTTTTTATATAAGAAATATATATATCTATAGATATAAGCACCGTCTGTCTGTTTGTCTGATCGTAAACTACTTCGACATTTATGAACCGATTTTTGTGAAACAACTACCAAAATGTTGCAAATTTTTCGAAGATGAATGTTTTTTTTTTAAGTTTTACACTCTCACCCACGCAATCGCATATTTATGGACCGATTTTTTCGAAATTGGTACCACAATTTTGCAAATTTTTCAGAGAATGTTAAAGTAGTTCGAAATAGTAATTAAACAGACATACAGACAGACTTAAATACTCTAAATAGTACTTAAAAACCTCATCGTCGCACACCCCGAAAAATTTGCAACATTAAAGGAAATCGGAAATCTTTTACGGCAAATGTTGTATACAAAGAGGTTTTGTAAAATGAAAAATTGTATGAAAACTAATAATAGCGGGGTCAGTGTTGAGAAAAGTGTATAAATAATGCCTATTTATTTGATTAGGTTAGCATCTTTTGAATGTGCTAGGCTTAATTAAGTCAGCTGTTACACAAAAATGCCGCCACACAAATACGTATATATATACCTACATATAACGACCTCAGAAATTTTATTGACCTAACACATTATATTTATCATGATAACACGTACAGAGAATCAGTCAGTCTTTCGTGGTCTTTCGAACCACGTGGTGGTAGATATAATACTTTTAATAAAGTGTGTGAATATATTATATTTTTCCAACATTGCATACTTCTAAAGCATTAATTTGCTGCAATTTATTTTTAAAACGATATATAGTTTTAATCAATATAATTTTTTAATTAACATTCTGTTTCGAAATATTCGGTAAGTCAATATAATTTTCATACATATAAAACATATATGTGTCTACAAATTCAAAAAAATTTAATCATACGGTAGGACGGAATTTTATAGAATTTCCAACATATGTATAGAAATAGAGAGAATAGTTTTATTCACAATTATTTGTAAATTTTAATCCAGAGATAATTTAAAATAATATCGATTGTATAATATTTTACGAATTGTATGTTGTTTGGCGAATTATAAGTTTTAATAAATAAAATGTTGAAATAAATTTAGAGACGTTATATTATCGTTATTCACTTTAATTCTGCATTTAAAATATTATATAAATGACTTGCAATAACCGCGAGGTATAACTTTTGCTTGCGAGATATAATTCTATTTGTTTTTTTCTTCAGCGAGTTCACTGAGTGACAAACTATCGATTCTTCGGTCACCTATGCCTATATCGATTAAGCTGTCCGTTGTTATATTTTGCTTGTTTTGATACTTTGCCTTTACCTGTTCATTATGATTGTTTTGCTCGTTGTCATATATATACATATATTCGATCGCCGACTTTTGTTCTCAATTCGATTTAATATTCTAAAATAAAATTGAAATATAAAATGAATTTTAGTTGGGGTTGTAGTTCGAATATTTATCACCACAGTTGAAATAATCTTGAGCCCACATAAGTTTGATATCAAATAAATTATTTTTGAAACTTGAAAATGATACAATTAACAGATAGTAAATATTATAATAGACACTTTTAATTGTCCTTTCATTACTAAATTATCAAAATTCTGTTTTCCAAAATTCTACGTACTTTTTATTATTTATAAAAAAATATTTGTATGTATTTTAATATTTAAATTGATTTTGAAGTTGTTCTGACATTAAGTAAAATAACTTTATCAAGAATGAAAAATTAAATATTAATTTTTGTTGCTGAAAATTATATATATAATGAAGAAAAATAAAGAATAGAACATTTGTTTTTAATCTGTATTCGATATATCCTCTTGAGGTATAATGAAAGTTTGAAAAAATTAATTTTGTTAAGTGTGAAATGAATCCCATTGAGAAATAATTGGTTTAATCGTTATCGGTTCGACATCGATTCGACGACGAATCGACGTCAATTTGACCATCATTTCTCACTGGGAATATAAATACAACACTTAAAAATAAATAGAATTATATTAATCATATAAGTTAGAAGTAGACATAATACTAAATATTTTACGTAAAATTTTTTACATAAATATTGTATATAAAACGTTTAAAACGCATGTTAATATTAAAAACGCATAAATATTAGTTTATATCGATTAATAAGGTATTCCATTAAAGTTGAAACGTTTGAAATATATTTAAATTAAAAATTATTAAAATTTAATTTTTACTTATTATTAAATTGTATTTCTCAAATGTATTAGTATTCTACCATCAGTATTTATATAAAATAATTGTTAAAATAGAAATTCGGCTAATTAAAGTTATGTGCATAATTAAAATTCGGCAAATTATAATTATGATCCTATGCATAGCATCAAGCAACTGTCATCGTCAAAATTAACAATTTGACAAATGTAAAATAAATAATAGAAATCATTTTTTATAAAAGAAAATGCGCTCTTATATCGCGTCTAGTGATTAAAAAAACAGAAAAACTATATTTAATTTCTATATTTATCTTTTGTTTAGAGTTTTATAGATTTAAAATAAATAGTCCTTTTCCGACATGATGATATGCCTAAAACTATTATTAAGTAGCGGACTAATGTTTATCGCTGAGACGGCTTTTGTTCTTAATGAATCATCTTTATGCTATCAACCATCAAAATATATAAAACCAATCCATTACGATATCAAGCATATATCACATATTGAACGAAATATTTTCTGTGGAGAATACAATATCAGCATAAGCATTCTTAACAAAACGCAACATATACTTTTACATTCAGAAAAATTAAGTATTAAAGATATAGTTTTATTTACAAATGTAGAAAAAAATCATGAGAATGATAAAGATACAGTTTACAAACCAACATATAATACTACTGAAGATGACACAATTGATATTATTTTTAAGGATAAATTATCACCAGGAAATTTCACTTTAAATATAAAATATTATGGTATTGCTGATGAAGTTTTTACAATTTTCAAAATGAAAGAAAAAACTGCGTAAGTAAATACATATTAATAGTATATGTTTAATAAAAAGGTACATTATGCAATTATATAAAACATTGTAATTAATATACATTATTTATGTATTAAATGTTTCAAAAATTAGTATATATTATGAAATTTAATTATAAAGACGATTATTCTTTATGTTTAGTACATATTATTATATATTACATTTATACTATTTTTAAATCCCAATATTTTTATGCTTGCTAAAAAATGTTTCATTAATTTATGTTCTTTCAAATATATAGTTTGGTAGGTGTTACTCATTTCCATATAATAGGCGCTCGACGATTGTCTTCATGTTGGGGTCACCAGAATTTATTGTTAGAAGCAACCTTTAACATATCTGTAGGATGTCATGATCAATGCACGGCATTGTCAAATATGCCATTGCGAAATACGGAAAAAAATAAGTGTAACAATATTTCATGGACACACTTCGATACCACACCCGCAATGTCGCCGTATTTTGCAACAATAATTGTGTCCAATTACTTATCACGTGTTGATAATAATACTCAAAATATTCAAATGTGGTGCAGAAACGAAACTGTATTTCACATGGAATTTGCGAAAAATGTAGCTGAAAATATCACGTTGTTCTATAAAAATAAATGGAAACAACATTCGAACAGTATTTCGAAGGTGACTCATGTTGCAATTCCAAATTTCCCTGATAATGGCATAATAGTTTTCGGACTTGTTTTGTATAAGTAAGTACAAGTGCTTAAGATTACACTAAAAATAAAATTATATTAGTATGCAAATTGATAAAATTTAAAAACATGTATATATTTTTTGTTTCTGTAAACGTTTGAAAGTATAAAGAATTGCGAAAACAATTTTTGTAGAATTAAGTTTATTCATATTATTACAAAGTTAAAGTATACCAAAGAATAATTAATTTTTCGTGCTTTGGCTCTGTTGGCCGATTTAAAAAACATCATATTTATATTCTTAATATTGAGAGCCGATAAAAATATTTCTTTCTGATTAAAGTATACCGTTTGAATAAAGAATAAAGTATGTATGTTAAGGGGTAACACCACTGTAACGGCCCAAAAAATTGCACTTTTTCGACATTTTTTTTTTAATGAAAGGAAATGAAATAAAGTATTAATACTCCGTGAAGTTAATAAGCATATATTGAAGTACTTGTAAAAATTTTTTCATAAAATAATATTACAAAATGGCGGAATGGCAGCCATATTCCCTGATGCTCCTTTAAATAAAGGGGTCTGCGGCAAGCAGTGTAGCCGTTGGAAATTTGAACCAAGAACAAATAAAAAAATTCCTCATGATCTTCAATGGTATATCTAGTACAATACGTATGGGATTTTAGAAATATTGATTTTTGAGTGATTGGCGAGCATTTGAATAAAGTCGTTCATTTTTCGACAAAAAAAAGTGACATTATTTGGCAATAAAAAATGTTTAGAGCAACGTATCAAAAATTCCATACGTATTGTACTTCGAAATGTTGTTTTGAATGTACAGTAAAAAATTCAAGTGAAAATATTAAAAATTGTTAGAGTTATACTGCTTGCCGCGTTGAAAAAACGTGTTTCGAGAAAAACGCGTTTAAAGTTTGGAGTTGTATTATAACATGAAAAAATTTAAAATTCGACTCAAAAAAAATTTTTACTATTAGTCTGCAATCCCAGCACCGTAAAGCTGCCCTTCTAAGTTGGAATATTCGTCCTCCATTTCTTTCCTCGCAGATGTTATGCCAGAGCGCGCTTTTTTTGCTGCATCTGATAATTGTGCCTCTGCGTGCTTGATTCGTTTTGCATCGGATTCGATGCAAAAATTATATGCTTCGACGCCAATTTCCATTTCCAGATATATTTCGTATATCTAGATATATTTAGATATATTTAGATATATTTAGATATATTTAGATATATTTTAGATATATTTTAGATATATTTTAGATATATCTAGATATATTTCATATATCTAGATATATTTCATCTAGTAGTGTCTCACATAACTTAGAAATCAATAAGCAAGGTATTATGCACTACTCTCTCGACAGGTTTCCACCCGGAGCAGGTAGCCGTTTCGGAGTCGCCCGACTCGTTCAGTACATAGCTAGGAATTTCGATGAAAAAAATTAGTTTCACGTATAAAAGTTTTTTCCTCGTATTCTACAGGGTTCAAAGGATTTTTTAAGCCCAAAAAAAAATCGATTTTTTGAAAATTTTACAGTGGTGTTACCCCTTAAATCGTATCCTCTCAGGTAGATGTTAAAACTGCAATAAAGCTATAAAAAAATTACATTTTTTAATTTTTCAAATTATTGTTCTTTTTCAACGATATACACATTAACAGAAATTTATCGTTGCTTCATATTGTAAATTAAAAAATAAAAAAATATTATTTGATACAATTTACAATACTGATTTGCTAAATTGTACCCATGACTTTGTAAATCGTACAAATAACAATTAAATTAAAAAAGTGTAACAAAAATAAAATTTTATTTTCTATATATATATAAGTTCTGAGTCTTAACATTAAAATATAATTTCCAGGGAAACAGATATCATCTACGATAAAAATTTATATTCTAATGCTCACAAAATTAAAATAGCTGAATTAGTAGGACATAAAGTGACACAGCAATGGTTTTATAATCTGAACAATCCTTTTCGATCTGCTTCTTGGTTGCATAAAGCTTTTACTACATTGCTTGCAACGTATGCTGTCAATGAGGTACGTTATTCTAAATATTTTCAACTCTATCCCGATTTTAAATTAAACCTTTTTTTACAAAATCTATATGCATTCTTTGTAAATTGTCTTGAGAACATATTTAGCATTATTTAAAATAATTAACTGTTTGAAAAAAATACTTTTTTCACATGTTTACATACACATATAATTATAATTAATTTATTAAACATTTTTATTCTTTTAACACCACTATTTCATATTTTAAAATTTTTATGTAATATAAAATAAAATAAATTAATAAAAAACGAGTATACATGATATTTATTTAATTAAATTTGGTAAAAAAAAGTTTGCAATAATATCATGAGACAATAATTTAAAAAATATATAATATATATTTGCTAATTATATTAATACAAAATTTTAGATTTTATTATTTATATTTATTTTAATGTATTTTTTAAAATGAGAAAGTGTTTTCTTTTAACGTAGAAGACCCGCTAATGATATTAGTAGTTCTTTATAATGCAAGTTTTATCAGAGCGGTTATATCGATATGTATTAATTATTTTTCTTCTATAGATGTATCCTGATAATCGAACAATAAATTTATTTGTTGTTCAAAATCAACATACTTCTTTTTATTTGGATAATGATTATCGTATATGGAATTCTGTTTCACAAGATGACAGTTTATTTAAAATTCGCGAATCCATCAGAGGTATAACGTAATATAATAAAATAGTCCGCTTAAATTTTTAACTGGTAATATTTTAAAATATCTGTAAAATTAGAAGATAATTAATTCTTTATTTGAATTTTAATTTAATATTATATTTATAAAAGTACACATGTGCGCGCGCGCGCGCGCGCACACACACACACACACACACACACACACACACACACACAATGCACACACACAGTGTTTGGTGATAGCCGCACTTATGTAGGTACAGGGAATTAATTGAATGGTCCTTTGAAGTTTGCTATCTTCGTAAGTATCAACGAGAAGTTTACTTATAAAATAGAATGATAAACAGTGCGGCAATAAAAAACATTTCACTCTTACGCGATTATTATCCTGTATATACATATATATTATAATTTTTTTTTTATAAAGTTACTATGTAACCATTATATTAAATATACATTTGTAAAATATCTAATTTATAATTTTGATGTAAATTATAGCACCCTTTATACTGCGCATGATGCAACACGCCTTCGAAGACACTTTTTGGAAACCCATTTGCTCATATGCAAATAGCACGTGAGTAATAGAACATAGAATATAATATAAAAAAAAATTATAGAAATCTTAAATAATTTATAATAGTATACAAATTTTATATAATGTCTCTTATTTTCTTTCGTTTCTTCTGACATTATTTCATAATGTTTTTTTTTCTTATTGTTAGTGTTATAATTCCTCTGTTCTTACTGATCTTCTACCAAAATTATTTTTAATTTCATTATTCTTTTTATAAAAACTATTTTTGTAGAAAGAAATTGTTATCGTTATTATTTTTTCATATACATATTTATTGTTGTTTTATTTATGTTTCATGATTTGTTATTTTTTAAAATAACAAATGCTGGCCTCTTTTACTATATTGATTTTTTTAAAATAATTTTTAAAATAATTTTTTTATTATTCTCTTTATTTTTTTTGTATTGTCTATAATTCCTATATCTGTTTTTTTAACTGCATTTATGTGCTACATTTGTTTTCTAATCGTATTTAACAGGTTTTTAAATATGTAACAATTATGTCTCTTTTCCATTACTTTCTCTATTTTTATTTTCTTCTTCCGTAAATCGATCTCCTTTATATTATTTTTTTTGTTTTGTCTTCAACTTCTTATTTGTTTTATTTCTCCTTTTAATCATTTTATACTCTCTCAATACTTTGCTCAAATATAATCTGTGTATTAATGCTAATAATACCTAAAAATATAAATAAAATTATTAAATTTTATTTAAAGTTATATTATAATTCTTATTATATTAGAATATAAATATAAGATATATAAATATATGCAAATTAGAAGTGCGATTTTATATTTTGCTTCTTAGTGTTTATTAAAAATTTGGTAGTTATTGAGATATGTGAATTAAGCTACCTTCGATCACAACAAATGTCAAGGTCATCGAACTCAAAGGTGGCTCCCCATATCTTAATAATTACCAAAATTTTGTATAATATTAACATTATACAGACAATTTTAACATATTTGTAATGTTTTTTTTTATATATATTTTACATACTTTGTGAATTTAGGCTATCACATCGTCTAGGTCCTGTAAACCTTATGAAGGATGTTGCTTTAAAAATGGATTTTGCTCTAAAACTAACAAGAATAGAATATTGGGTTTCGAAAAAGCATTGTCCTCTCATTAAAGTAGAACGAAATTATAGTGATCTTATGAGCCAAACAATTGTATCGGTACAATATATCGACATATTAGAAATTGGCTACATTCATATAACTTTTACTGCGGAAGCATTCCCCATTTTTAACAATTTCATTCATCATGCTTTAGACGTGTCAGAGGATTTTGAAATATTCTTCCCATTTCAAGAGAATGATTGGATGATATTCAATATACAACAAGTTGGTAAATATCGACAAATAGATTTATTATGACTTATTTCTCATCTTTATTTAACAAATACTTAATTGACATAATTTTATTTTTTTTATCTATTTTTTGTCTAATTTTATTTATTTTTTTATTCATTGTTCTATAAAATTTTGAGCTATTCATTATATAACTATAATAGTTTTAAAATGTTTTGTGTAATATTCTGCATTGTTATATTTAAGATATACACGTAGCCGTTTTCTAAACAATATCATTCAATATTAATGTTATATTTTTACAAATATTTTCTTCAAATAAGAGTAAAAATGATTAAGATAATTAGATTTATAAAACTAATAATAATAAGTGCAGGTAATACAATTATCGTAACGTTTCATACTGCGAAAATTATATTATATATTGGTTAGCATAAAATAATTACTATTTATGCACAACTAGAATCAATTTTATTTTATGATATACATAACAATATCTTGCACAGTTTTATTTTCTCTTATATTTCAAGTATTAGGATAACATTTTTATAATTAATTATTTACATGTATTTGTATTTTATTAATGTATTAAATTTTTGATACGTTTTTAATTTATAATTTATATAAGCAAAAATATTAAACAAAAATGTTTGAAAATAAGTATATTAATTATAAAATTATTGAAAATAATAATAATTGTTATAATTTATTTACTGTTCGACAGGATATTATCGCGTTAACTATGATGATGAGAATTGGCGAAAAATTTCAGATTATCTATACTATGATGATTTTACGACAATTCATGTTCTTAATCGTGCCCAAATTATCGATGATGCATTTCATTTAATGATAGCAGGCCAACTCGAAGCCTCTATATTCTGGAATATCATATCGTATTTGGATAGAGAAAAAGATTATATCGCGTGGTATCCTATGTTTAAAGCTCTGGAATACATGTTTAGTACTTTTCCAGTGGAAGAAAAAACTGAAAATATGCGGTAAATATTAATCAGTTTTAATAAAAGTATTACATTTATATATTTATATATACACTGATTGATCACAAATAATTTAAATATTTATAGAGAAATATATCTAGCAATAAAGTATTACATATTTTTACGACTCACATAAATGTGCAAACAAATTTAGTTTGAGTAATTTCATTCACTACTGTGAATAATTAATATATAACATTGTTATTGGATACATAACTGGATGCTTAAAATTTTTGTCGATGAATTATAATTATAAACATATTAATAAAGAAATATATATTTAATGATTTTTAGAATAGAATAGATAAGATAAAAACCATATTAAACAAATTACTTGTAAAAATCGAATTTGAAGAAATTGATGATCCAGACGAACTTAGAATATGTTTACGACAAGAAGCTGCAAGATGGGCATGTTTTTTCGGTGACATTACTTGTATAAAAGAAGCGAAGAATAAATTAGAACAACATATCGAAGATCCTATACAACACAGGTAAATTATGTTACATATTTTTAGTTTTTCTCAATCAAATTTCCTTGTAGATATCTCCTATAATGTTCAAATAAGTTAATACGAAAATCTTTAATAAAAAAATTAAATTCTATTTATATTTTAGGCTTTTGCCATGGTGGACGGCATGGACATATTGTAGAGGTTTGATGACAACTACGAGAAATGAGATCACTTTTGGAACAGTGTATACTAGAGGATTGGAAAAAGATGACATTAAATTTTCAGAATACTTGGCTTGCATTGAAGATACTGATTTCATCAAACATTATTTTAGTCATAAACAGAACATTAATACAAAACAGGAATATCAATTTCTTGTTAACAGTTTCTTACATTTTATTACGAAGCATGCGAAGAATCCAATTATATTGACGTATATATTAGATAATTTTAACAAAATAAAACCAAAGTAAAATGACATACTTTTATAAATATTTGTACAAGTTTATTATATGTATTATATATATATACATCTGATTTTTTTTGTTTTTAGAAATGTTAATATAATTGCAGCAATTATTATTATGATTAATAACGTATATTCCGAAAATTTAGCTAAGGTATAAATTTTACATGTTTAAATATATTTATACAAAATATGATAATAATGCGATATTAATAATTATTATTTAATGTTTAAAATAATTTTTATAATGTTATCATAACGTTGTTTATTAATAATGGTATTAAAATTATACATTTTAGTCAATAGAGGTACACTCTAAAAGTATTGTAGAAGCTAACGTAATTGAAGTGAACACAGAAGATCAATTTAAAAAACATCGAATAAAGGAGGTAAATTTAATATATGTATATTATTATGGAAAGTGAAAGAAAATGAAATTATGTTTTATCTGACTAATTTCTGAATATTATTTTTATATTTATTTATTTGTTATATAATTAGTATGTTGATTTTATTATGACAATCTTTGTTTATATATATTAAAATTTGCATAATGCGGAATGAGATTACTATATTTATTTAATTATATTATAATTAATAAAACGATTTGTTTTAGATGAATGACCGTGTAATACATAAGATTGAGTTATATTCTTATATTATAATCAAGGTTAAAACTATTCGCAAAAAACAAATCGAGAAGCAGAGACAATATTTTGCAAGATTTTTCTTCTAATCGGTGGATGTAAAAAAATTGCAGCTTTGCATACGTGGAAGTACTTTATATAATTTTTTTTATATTACATCTATTCGTTTTACTGCTTTAAATATTGCTTATTTAGATGTATTACTATCCAATGCTTTTATATTTACCTATATGACTGCATGCATCAAGATTCTCATGTTTTTGCGATCTTGTTTGAAGTAGTAGAATTATATATTATTGTGCAACCGGCGCGCAGAAAATCGCTCTTTACGTACATGATGGGATTTTAGAAAGGGCTCTTTTTCCACGCACCGGTCACACAAAATATCGTAGCCAACATGTGCGGATCGTAACTCGGCTTCGCTTCGTGCACCAAACTTCCGCACTCTCGACCGATTAATGATCTCCCGCACTTGTTAGCTAATATACTATTACAGAAATTAATTATTTTATACATTTAATGTTATTAATTATGTAGAATTTGTGATTGGTTTGTATTTTTTAGTTTGCAATAAATAACATGACACAATTCTTTCTCTCTCTCTCTCTCTCTCTCTCTCTCTCTCTCTCTCTCTCTCTCTCTCTCTTTCTCTTGTAATGTAAATTGACATTTTAATTTTTAAAATTATTAAAAAAAATAAAATATTAATATTAATATTAATATTTATAAAATTATATTCATAACTTTAAAATTGTACAACATAATTTAACATTTCTTGCTGATATTTTTAATAGATTTAAAAATACTGCAAAATGTGTCAATCTGAATTGTAACTTATAATTGTATTTAAAAAAAATTTAAGCAAAGCTAGCAAAGAAAACATATTTTAAAACGTTTGTCACAAGTTGATGTTTACAATAAGTCCGCGTCTAACATGTGCTTCTTCCAATCAACGCGGTTAATTTTAATATAAAAAAATTATCTTACTATTTTATTTGGCTTTCTATTATTTCGTTTCTTATTATTTTTAATGATAAATGTCGAATCTCTTGTAGCAAAATTAAATTTATGCAACAATGTCGCAACATGAACAAATAATTCGAAAAAGATAAAACTTTGTTATATTAAAATCGGAAAACAATTAAAATATCTTAAAATCTTTAGATAGCTTATCAATTAGTATATGAAAAAGGAGCTACTATGTAATATACGCACATTTTTACGTATAATTGATTCAGGAACCGTAATATTTAAATAATTTTTGACCCATAAAAATTTATCGAATAAATCGAATTTTTAACAGATATCTTCGGCTGATTTAATACTTTAATTGATATTTCAGTAATTCTGACACTAAATAAAATATTGTAAAAGAAAAAGAAATATTGTTTATTAATTTTCTCAAACATTTAAATCAAAATTAAAGATAATTTATTTAATTCTTACTTGAACAATTGAAATGAATTTAATGTTTCACATATTGCCAAAAATTAAATTGACACATATAAAAGAGTATCACCGCGCATTGAAAACATTATTAAATTAAATAAATTTTTATTTCTATACAGCTATATAAATCATATATTTGAAACAAATAAATATCCGTTTTAAAAGAATTTTTTTACATCAAATAATAAATATATTTCACATCCAATCGATATCATTAGTTTTAAATAAATGATATTTATTGTAAAGAAGTATTGAGTTAAATATTTAATTAAATTTAATAAAAATTTTTTTGCGCTATTAGAGAGATTTGATAAAGTAAACTTTGTTAAAAATTTTTAGAGGCCTTCTATGTATAACATAATATATGTTCAAAAGATAAAAATATAGTAACTATTATATAATTATCAATTAAAGAATATTTTAATTTTACAAAGAAATTCGTAATATAAATTCGTAACAATTGTCGTCACATCTGGTTTGACGTATCGCGATAGTTCATCGGATAAGATAGGTCACGATTTATATTCAAAATTGTATATCATTTTTGCTTTATTCTCACAGATTGTTTATCTAGTATATATATAATTTGAGCAGAAAAAAAAACAAATCTTCGAAAATATAATGTATTCACTTTTTAAAGAAATGTTATATGAAGATATGAATTTTATCAGTTATAAATCTTTATAGTTTTGCACACAGAGTACGATGTAATAAATAATCAAAGTAGTAAAACTTTAAAATTAGAAAAAATTGATATAAAAAAACGAAAAAATGGTACAAATCGTAATTAATAAGTAATCAAGTATAATATTTACGATTTTATAAACATATACTTTTACATACAGGCGTAAGTAGGACAATATTGTGCACAAACATTGTGTATATAAATGTATATTTCTAACAAAAAATATAAAGTAACCCATTTTAAATAACGTATTGTTATTTCAGAACCAAGATTTCTCTTCCGAAAATATACTTTATACAATATTTATAGAATTTGAAAGAAGCGTCGCGTCGTAAATATATCTTATTTCAGATGGAGACATTTTTGAGATTTGATAGTTATTATTATATTTTAAACGTTTTATGTTTAATATTGACAAAAAAAAATAAACATCTTGTAATATATTTCTCTTCCGATATTATTTTAGCTGAATAAATTTTTGCACAAAATAATTGAATAAATTGATTTGTATAAAAAAAAAACACACAGTGATTTAAAGAAAATTGCAATTTATAACAATGTGCAACTACGAACATTTTTTAAAATTAATTTAAATTAATTAAAATTTTTCGTTTCGTTTCCTTGGCTCTATTGCCCAGCTTAGAAGACAGCATACTTATATTATTTATATTGAGAGCCGATAAAATATTTATTTCTGAGTTTATTCACGCCTTGCTAATCACGGCGGTATTTACTAACATCTACTAAAAAGGCAAATGAAAAATATAGGATCGAAAGGGTCTGAATAGCTTAGTTGGTAAGAGCAGTCGCCCGGAAAGTGAAAGACGCGGGTTCGATTCCCGCTTCAGCGACTTTTCGGACCTATATTTTTCTCGCTTATTTCTCCATATGTAAGTTTCGAATTAATTTATATGTGTAACTTTGGGATCTCAAATTGAGATACAGTTCCGTTTAATTAATTTTTCGTTTCGTTTCCTTGCTCTATTGCCCAGCTTAGAAGACAGCATACTTATATTATTATATTGAGAGCCGATAAAATATTTATTTCTGAGTTTATTCACGCCTTGGGCTAATCACGGCGGTATTTACTAACATCTACTAAAAAGGCAAATGAAAATATAGGATCGAAAGGGTGAATAGCTTAGTTGGTAAGAGCAGTCGCCCGGAAAGTGAAAGACGCGGGTTCGATTCCCGCTTCAGCGACTTTTCGGACCTATATTTTTCTCGCTTATTTCTCCATATGTAAGTTTCGAAATTAATTTATATGTGTAACTTTGGGATCTCAAATTGAGATACAGTTCCGTTAATTAATTTTTCGTTTCGTTTCCTTGGCTCTATGCCCAGCTTAGAAGACAGCATACTTATATTATTTTATATTGAGAGCCGATAAAATATTTATTTCTGAGTTATTCACGCCTTTGGCTAATCACGGCGGTATTTACTAACATCTACTAAAAAGGCAAATGAAAAATATAGGATCGAAAGGGTCTGAATAGCTTAGTTGGTAAAGCAGTCGCCCGGAAGTGAAAGACGCGGGTTCGATTCCCGCTTCAGCGACTTTTCGGACCTATATTTTTCTCGCTTATTTCTCCATATGTAAGTTTCGAAATTAATTTATATGTGTAACTTTGGGATCTCAAATTGAGATACAGTTCCGTTTAATTAATTTTTCGTTTCGTTTCCTTGGCTCTATTGCCCAGCTTAGAAACAGCAACTTAATTATTTATATTGAGAGCCGATAAAAATATTTATTTCTGAGTTTATTCACGCCTTTGGCTAATCACGGCGGTATTTACTAACATCTACTAAAAAGGCAAATGAAAAATATAGGATCGAAAGGGTCTGAATAGCTTAGTTGGTAAGAGCAGTCGCCCGGAAAGTGAAAGACGCGGGTTCGATTCCCGCTTCAGCGCACTTTTCGGACCTATATTTTTCTCGCTTATTTCTCCATATGTAAGTTTCGAAATTAATTTTATATGTGTAAACTTTGGGATCTCAATTGAGATACAGTTCCGTTTATTATTTTTCGTTTTCGTTTTCCTTGGCTCTATTGCCCAGCTTAAAGACAGCATACTTATATTATTTATATTGAGAGCCGATAAAAAATATTTATTTCTGAATTTTTTAAATTATAAACATGTTACATTAATTGAATTATATTACTATATTTTGTGCATAAAATTATTAAGATCAATTATCGAAAGTGCATGTATATGACGAAAATTTACATTATATTTTTTTATATAAGTATATATATATCTATAGATATCAGCACCGTCTGTCTGTCTGTCTGATCGCGAAATACTTCGATATTTATGGACCGATTTTGAAACAACTAACAAAATGTTGCAATTTTCGAAGATGAATGTTTTTTTTTAAGTTTTACACTCTCTCACCTACGCAATCGCATATATATATAAACCGATTTTTTTCAAAAATGGTATCACAATTTTGCAAATTTTTCAGGGAATGTGAAAGTAGTTCGAAATAGTAATCAAACAGACAAACAGACAAACATAAGACAGACTTAAATAGTCTAAAATAAACTTAAAAATCTCATTGTCGCACACCCCCATAAATTTGCAACATTAAGAAAACCGAAATCTTTTACGGCAAATGTTGTATACAAAAAGGTTTTGTAAAATGAAAAATTTGTATGAAACTAATAGTAGCGGGTCAGTGTTGAGAAAAGTGTATAATAATGCCTATTTATTTGATTAATTTAGCATCTTTTGAATGTGCTAGGCTTAATTAAGACACTGTTACACAAAATGCCGCCCACACACACATATATATGTAAATATATACTATAACGATCTCAGAAGTTTTGTTGACCTAACACATTATATTTATCATGAAGACACGTACAGAGAATCAGTCAGTCTTTCCTGGTCGTTCGAACCACGTGTGGTGAAGATATAATACTTTTAATAAAGTGTGTGAATTATTATATTCTTCCAACATTGCATACTTCCAAAGCATTAATTTGCTGCAGTTCATTATTAAAACAATATATAGTTTTAATCAATATAGTTTCCAATTAACATTCTGTTTCGAAATATTCGGTAAGTCAGAAGAACTTTCATATAAAACATGTGTCTACACAATGCAAGAAAATTTAATCATACGGTAGGACGGAATTTTATAGAATTTCCAACATATGTATAGGAATAAAGAGAATAGTTTTATTCAAAATTATTTGTAAATTTTAATCCAGAGATAATTTAAAATAATTCTATTTGTCCTCTCTTCAGCGAGTTCGCTAAATGACATGTTATCAATTCTCCTGCCTATATCGGTTAAGCTGTCCGTTGTTATAGTTTGCTTGTTTTGATACTTTGTTTTTACCTGTTCATTATGATTCTTTCGCTCGTTGTTATATTATACATATATTCGATCGCCGACTTTCGTTCTCAACTCAATTTAAATATTAAAAATAAAATTGAAATATAAAATGAATTTTATCGCCACAGTTGAAATAATCTTGAACCCACAAAGTTTGATGTCGAATAAATAATTTTTGAAACTAAAAAATACTGCAATTAACAGATAATGAATATTATAATAGATACTTTTAATTGTCCTTTTATTACTAGATTATTAAAATCTGTTTCCAAAATTTGTCGTACTTTTTATATTTATAAAAAATATTATCTTGTGTATTTTAATACTTACTTGTGATGTCAATATATTATAGGTTGTATAATCCTTGGCTATTATTTTATCACGGTTTGACAAAAGTTTCATTTGAATAATATGTTCACAGTTTTTAATTTTAAGTACACTTGAGAAGGACTAAAACCCATGGTCGAAACGTTGGGTGGTGATTATTAAATATTTATTAGCCAGTAATGGTTGTTAAAATTAATTAACCTGTCAAATATATTAAAATTAAAAATTATTAAAATTTAATTTTTTACTTATTATTAAGCTGTAATTCTAAAACGTATTAGTATTCTACTATCAATATATACAAAATAGAAGTCGAAATAATAATTTGGCTAATTAAAATTATGATCATTTTTATAGCATCAAACAACTGTCATCGTAAAAATTAACAATTTGACAATTGTAAAATGAATAATAGAAATATATCAAAAACGTGCGCCAAGCGCGCTCTTGTGTCGTTTAGTGATTTGAAAAAGACATCAATACTATATTTAATTTCTCTATTTGTCTTTTGCTTACAGTGTGTTCTACAGACCTAAAATAAATTATTCGACACGATGATATTTCTACTATTAATTAGCGGAATAATGTATATCGTTGGAAACGGCTTCTAGTCCTAATCAATCTTCTTTATGCTATCAACCATCAGAATATATAAAACCAATCCATTACGATATCAAGCATATATCAAATATTGAAAAAAATATTTCTATGGAGAATACAATATTAGCATAAGCATTCTTAACAAAACGCAAAATATATTAATCAACAACATATATTCAGAAAAATTATATTTAAAAAATATAGTTATAATTAAAAATTTAGAAAAACATCATGAGAATATTAAATATACAGTTTATAAACCGACATGTGATATTCAAGAAGACATAATTGACCTTTCTTTTAAGGATAAGTTATTACCAGGAAATTACACTTTATATATTAAATATTTTGGTTTTACTGATGAAGTCTTTAGAATTTCGAAGTAAAAAAAAAAATTGCGTAAGTAAATAATATATGTTAATTAAAATCAATGTGCAATGTGCAATTACATGCAACCTTGTAATAAATATATATTTTTTTGTAATAAATGTTTCAAAAATTATTATATATTATGAAATTTAAATATAAGACGATTATTCTTTATGTTTAGTACATATAATTATATATTACATTTAAACATTTTAAATTCCACCATTTTGATGTTTGCTAAATGTTTCATTAATTTATGTTCTTTGAAATGTATAGTTTCGTAGCTGCTACTCATTTGCATATAATAGGCACCCGACAAATGTCATCGTGTTGGGATGAAAAGTATTTATTCTTAGAAGCAACCTTTAACATATCTATAGGATGTAATCAATGCACGGCTTTGTCAAATATGCCATTGCAAAATACAGAAAAAAACAAGCACAATATATTATTGAAACGTTTCGATACCACATCTGCAATGTCGCCGTATCTTGCAACAATAATTGTATCCAATTACCTATTACGTGTTGATAATTATACTCAAAACATTGAAATTTGGTGCAGATAAATCTGTATTTCACATGGAATTTGCAAAGAATGTAGCTGAAGAAATCACGTTGTTGTTCAAAGATACATGGAAACAACGTTCGAACAATATTTCGAAAGTGACTCATGTTGCAATTCCAAATTTCCCTGATAATGGCATAATAGTTTTTGGACTTGTTTTGTATAAGTGAGTACAAGTGCTTAAAATTACATTAAAAAGTAAAATTATATATTAGTATGCAAAATTATAAAACTGAAAAACATGTAGGTATATCTTTTGTTTCTGTAAACGTGCAAAAGTATAAGATATTGTGAAAACAACAATTTTAAGTAGTAAAATTAAGTTTATTCGTATATAATTTAAAATGTTGTACTTTATTGTTCTAATATATACATACATAAAGGTAAAAATTTTATGTTATATCGTATCTTCTAAGGTAAATTTTAAAATTGTAATAAAGCTATAAAGAAATAACATTTTTTTATTTTATAAAACTAAAGTTCTTCATCATGATTTACGCATTAACTCAAATCATTGCTTTATACTTAAATTAAAAAATTACAAAAAATATTATTTGTTCCGATTTACAATACCAATTTGTTAAATAAAATTTTATTTTTATATAAGTTCTCAGTCTAACATTTAAATATTATTTTCAGCGAAATGGATATCGTTTACGATACAAATTTGTGTCCTGTTTCTCACAAAATCGAAATAGCTCAATTAGTAGGACATAAAGTGACACAGCAATGGTTATATAATTTGAACAATCCGTTTCGATCGGCTTTTTGGTTCAATAAAGGTCTTACTACATTGCTTGCAACGAATTTTCAATGAGGTTATTCTAAATATTTTTAACGCTATCACCTTCCATTTTTTAAAAACGATAACATACTTAGGCATTTATATAACAGAAATTTCGTATATCAAATTCTTTTATAAATGTATAATTCTTTTAAACAATATATACATATGTATATAATAATAAACAATATATGCATATATAAATTTAAAGTGTAAGAACGGCAATAGAGCAATCGCGGAGACAGCGCGCTATTCCAACAAACTAAATTTTTTTTGTTAGATTAAATATCTGTGCACAAGGCACCAAATTTACTTGGTCACGGCCAAGATTTAAAATATGAAATAATCTCTATTTGAGATTTAATTTCAATAACTCTTTAAACCTCCTACGGAAATAAATAAATGCAAGAGAAAAATATAAGTCCGAAAGTCGCTGAAATCGGGAATCGAACCCGAGATGTAAATGCGTGTGTGGATATGTGGAATAACTTAAAAAAACCACACAGTGGCCTTAGAAAAATTTGCAAGATTTTGGTACTAATTTCGTGAAAATCGGTCCATAAATGCGCATGCGCATGGGTAATGCGTGGGTGGAGGTGTAACACTTGAGAAAACCATCAATTTTGTTTATCTTCAAAAAATTGCAACATTTTGTTACCAATTAAAAAAAAATCGGTCCATAAATATGCGATTGCGTGGGTGGATGCGTGGATAGAGGCGTAAAACTTACAAAAATCACCATTGTTACACTTTCCGGAAAATTTGCGAATTTTGGTACCAATTGATGAAAAATCAGTCCACAAATGTGGAAGCAGATTGCGGTCAGACAGACAGACAGACAGACAGACAGAGAGACGGACGATACTTAAACATACAGATTTTTATAAAATCTAAAATAAAATATATTAATCAGATACTATTATATCCGATATTTATTTTACTTATTTTGATAAGAGACTCTGCGATATAATATATCATGAGATAATAATAAAAGTATGTATATTTGTTAATTATATTAATACAAAATTTTAATTTTTTTATATTTACTCATATGTGTTTTTTAAAGTAAGAAAGTGTTCCTTTTTAAGAACCGCTAATGATATTAGTATTTCTTTCTAATGCATGTATTTTCAGAGCGGTTATATTGATATATTAATTAATATGTTTTCTTTAGATCTATCGATTTAATCGAATAATGAATTTATTGTTGTTCAAAATCAACATACTTCTTTGTAATTTGATGAATATCGTATGTGGGATTCCTACTTCACAAAATGACACATTATTGAAATTCGCGAATCCATCAGAGGTATATAACGTAATATAATAAAATAATCCACGTAAATTTTGTACTACTAATATTATAATAATATTTGTAAAGTTATAGAATAAGTAATTTTTTATCTGAATTTTATAATAAAAATAAGATTAAAAGCACACACACACCCACGTGCATATTTATGTATATTTGTAATTAATATTTAAAGTATAAACATGTAAGTATATATATTAATATATATATATATA